CGCATCACTACCCATCTCTGAAACAATGTAAAATTCGATCTTTTGAAATTGGGTAATTAAATAGATCCTCCTATGCAAAGCCTTTCCTGAGCAGCAAAATCTAGCTGTTCGGTTCAGCAGCTCTGTTGATAGCACCATCAGTATCTAATGCTTCAGTCCTGTCATCCAAGACGCGTAAAACAAGACAAAGTGGCAAATTATTTCTCTCCGAAATCAGCTTCAACAATTCGTTCATTAATGACTGAAAGCCACCGAGTACAGTAATTTCTTGACGCAATTCATTATCAAGGATCATTACACGTTTTCTGATTTATTTTTTATTGTATATTTAATCTATAACGTGGGAGTAAAGGACTGCAGTCGAGACATAAACATTAATAAATTAAAATTCATTACTATTTTGAATTTAAAAAAATAATAATATCATATATTTTCGGAAGTTACAAAGTACTTAAGGAGAAACCTGATAAAAAAAATATCAAGTGGAAATTGATAATTTTTTTGGGTTTTGCGTAGTGTTAATTATGCTGAGCGATATAACATTGTAATCTAAAACTAATTATCCTATATTAGAAAAATAACATATTAATATGTTAAACTGAATTCAATAAAGATAACTAGACTAAATCTTACCTATTCTTGGAGCATAATTTCTTTCTTGTTTTATCAAGCACCGACTCCAGGAAGTAACCACTAATCACATGACCTTTGGCACGTTGTCTGATCATTAGTTCGCTTATAATGATGATCATAATTATCTTCGTGTTGTCCTATATATGGTATTTGATCTTGTTGTCCTATATATGATATTTTGACCTTCACATTATTTCATGTGTAGTGTTTTGATCGATCACCTTCACGTTATCCTATGTGCAGTGTTTGATCGATTATCACAGTCATAAATCTTTTAATTATGATCATCAAAACATTATATATGGAACAATGCGAAGATAATTATGCATGCATGGTGTTTTAACCTTCACATGTGCAGTGTTTTGATCATAATTTTCTTTGCGTTGTCCCATCATAATGTTTTGATGATCACAATTAAAAGATCTATAAAAATGCGAATTAAATTAGCTAAGCGTTGATACCAAATTCCAACTGCACAATACCAATCCAATAATAAATTATCAAAATGAAGCTCTGTTCTAAATGCAAATGCAATCGCTCCAATGATCAATTCATTTGGGATGACATGCATCATAAGACGTGCAGGAAGTGCAAAGAGAGCCGTGAAAGGAAGGATAAGGAGAATCATGACAGAAAAGATGCAGAGACTATGGTGTTGGCTAGAGTCACACACCCGGCAAACATTATTAAATCTAATATAGATGCTTCTCTCGATGTTTCAGAAGACAATCACGATGTAAATGAATCATCACAAGACATATCTTATCTAACTGAAGAATTGCCCAATATTGTAATTGCAGATGATGAATCGAAGGTAGAACATGTCACAAGAATCGAGGTTGATTATGTTGATGTGGGAAATTTCATTGAAAATGAGCTCCAAGAGTTAATAGTTGATGAAGTAGCCGATGTAGCTTATAATACTCGATTGCTAGTGAGTGCATTTAGACGCCAATGTGACCCAAAATAAGACAGCAAAGGAAATTGCTGATATTATCATCACTGAAATTGAAGGCGGAGATGACTACTCGTGGAAGTAAGTATTATCTCAATATAGAATATATTCAAATTATTAGAATATTTCTAACTAGACAACTATAATTGTAGTCTTCAAAAGATGGACGTATTGAGAAAATTTGGGAACACAGTTGGCCGATTCACTTACATTTGTTATCAGTCGAAAGAGACGCAGAGGGAAAAGTACAAGCACTCAAATTGTAAATGACGAATGCGCTATAACTGCAGAGGCAAGATTGTAGTGCGAGTTAACACAGCTCTTAACATAACAACTGTGGATATTTACCACGGATCCCTTCACCCACGTCCAGACCTAAGCATTGAAATGCTCAATGAACTACGAGAAGAGATTAAAAAATACTCATATCTTACCGTAGTAGAATTAAAGAATCATCTTCGACGTCACGGATTCGATATTTCAAAATATTCACCTAAGCGAATCTATTTTTGGAAATCCATGGCGGGTCAAAGGTTATACCAACGTTGTGATAATCACGTTGAATCTGCACGTAAGCTGCTTAATGAATATTATAATCATGATTTCCGGTGCTGCTTAGATATAAAGGATTCAGAAACCATTGCCATCGGCTTTACCACTCCGCTGCTAGAAGAAATCAAGAATCAAGGTATTAAAATTACCGAGATATATATTGATGCAACCTATAAAACAGCACGAGGATGCTATGAACTTTACGGTATTATAGCAGACATTAAAGGAACTGGTTTTCCGATCGCTTACCTTATTCTTGATACGGCTAAAGCAATGAACATAAGTACCAATACGGGAAGGCGCAGTAAAATTTTAGAGAACTTCTTAGAAATTATGAAAATGAATAATATTAATCCAGACTTCGTATTTACTGATAAAGATTTTGCAGAAATTAATATTGCGAGAAAGGTCTGGGGGCCTCTGGCAATACAATTATGTGCTTGGCATATGAATCAGACTCTGAAGCTTAAACTCAAAGAAAAGGCCAAGTTATCAAATGAGACACAATTATGTACTGTAATCTACAACGTAAATCAGGCAACTAACGAGTTTGAGTTTATTGACCCTGCCTTCTATCCAACAGAGGAAGATCGCAATTCAAGAACGTATATCATCTGTCAGCCAGCACTTCGGGAAATGATTTTGAAGCTAATGCAAAAACATTATGATATGCATCCGTTGATACCTGTCAATGCTCAGGGAGACACTATAAAACTAACAGATATCAGAAGAAGCGCTGTAAAAGAGATGTATTAATTTTGTGTCGAAAATTCATTGCGACTACTATGGGCCTACCTCTGGACAAACTGGTATTCACCAGAACGATGGTATCTATGGGCACGATCCGTTAGACCTACAATACCTTTTGGTAAGACAACGATGAAGATCGAAGCCCATTGGGGTGTCATCAAACGGTGCTATTTATACCGTTTTAATCGTCCTAGACTCGATTTGTTGTTTTGGACGCTCTTCAAGGAAGTAATACCAGCGCAACAAGAGCGGCTTTCGCAAATTCTAACCCGAGTAATAGCACCGTAGTGATGGGATGACTTCAAAAAAGCATGGCTCATTGCAGGATCAAATAATGATAAGCAAACAAATATTTGCACTAACGATCATACCAAAAGAAAAAGAAAGCGAAATACAAATGTGAAAACGACTGATCTGGATAGTTCATATTTTACTGATGTTACTCGTTGGGTCTGCAGCTGTCCAGCTTTCCTCGGAAGTCGCTTTTTATTATGCAAACATTTAGTTCAGCAGGATGTTATGCAAAATGGCAAACGACAGTTGTTGCAAGATAATTTTGAGCGTCGTACCACTCCACCATTTTTTGTTCTTAAAGATATCGAAAGTGACAAAATTATGACTAACGTTTCGTCTATTACATCTATTGAAATCGCTGGAGAACCAAATACTTATTCCTTTGATACTGAAGCTATTGTTGATGAAGATTCTGATGAAAAAGCTCGTGCATATATCAATTCAAATTGGTCATCATTTGAGCAAGCAATTAAAAGGGTATATACCGAAAAATCAGCAAATAACTGGCATCAAGTTCGCGCAATAATGGAGTGGAGCAGATTAGTGCTGATGGAGAAAGAAATACAGGCAACAGAATGGAAGAGACACCGGCCGACGACTTGGGGGTCTGCAAAAAAGCCTTATCTTATGTATCTGTCTTCTCTAAATGAGATGGGTAGTGATGAAAATACACCAAGTTTGGCAGAAAACGATGATGCAAATATTGTAGCTATAGAAGATAGTAATGATTAGTGCTCTCAGCAAATCTTAATTAAATTCTCAAAAAAAAAGCGTTAACTAGCAAAAAAATTCAGATCTAGATTCACACATTTTAACTTCTAACTTCAATGTCACAATTAGAATTACTACTTGTAACAAGAGCATTATAATAATAAAAAAGTTTATAAAACATAATTTACTTTCTTATTATTGCCTTCAACAGCACCAATTCGCAATTTTAGTTATTTTGACGTAAGATGTACTTTTTTCCAAGCGGTCCTTTACTCAATGTAGTTGCCTTTCTTTTTGGAATTCCCCACGCTATAGATTTAATATACAATAAAAAAGAAATCAGAGAACGTGTAATGATCCTTGATAATGAATTGCGTCAAGAAATTACTGTACTCGGTGACTTTCAGTCATTAATGAACGAATTGTTGAAGCTGATTTCGGAGAGAAATAATTTGCCACTTTGTCTTGTTTTATGCGTCTTGGATGACAGGACTGAAGCATTAGATACTGATGGTGCTATCAACAGAGCTGCTGAACTGAACAGCTAGATTTTGCAGCTCAGGAAAGGCTTTGCATAGGAGGATCTATTTAATTACCCAATTTCAAAAGATCAGATTTTACATTGTTTCAGAGATGGATAGTGACGCA